TCTTGAAGAGCTCTTCGGAGATTTTATCAAAAAATATTGATTATGTTACTAAGTCATAGAAAATAGGCGCTGAGGTTGGGAACTAAGTGCTTTTTTAAAAAAAATAACCCAGGAGTAGTAGAATAAATCAATATGTAGAACATCCAAAACACTGTAACCATCAAGTTGGTTTCAGTGTGGAAAAAGCAGTACTATTTTTTTTCCCCTGGAAGAGCATCTTAACAGTTGTATGGGCATTGTAAAAATAAATAAATAAAATAAATAAGGAAGCAAAAAAATCTTTATCCTAGTATTTACTTGAAAATTTTTATGGAATTCCTAACTTCTAACACTCACTAATTTTCTAAATTAATGGGGGGGGGGGGGAAATCTGCAAGGCTTTTAAATTAATCTGTGCCAGATAGGGATTTTTTTCCCTCTCCCTCCCCATCTCCCCCCAAAATAAGGAAACAAAAACCTTATAAGATGTTTTAGTTTTAAGATCTGAGGCCAACAAGTTTAATCCTGTTCAGGTTTTGGTATTAAATCCAAATTTCAGTACACAATAACACCATTCATTCCATGACAGTTTGGTTAGAAGACATTTCTACTTGCATTTAAGATAATTGATTCTGCTTTATCTTTATAAGAAAAGAATTTCCAGCAGTGTGTCTTGCTGGGAAGAATAAAAAAAACTTAGCAAGCAGCATACCAATTTTAGAACAGTTAAATTGAATGATGTTTTTTTTCATATTATGACAGCATTCTGTGCTTTGAAGGATTTACCAGAAGCGTTTGTAAAAGTAACTGTCCCCTTTGGGCACGTAAATATTTACTTAGAAACAGTTAACTTCTTAGAGGGGAGAGTAGGGCCAGGGGGAGTAATAAGGTATCAGAAAATGATTATCGCTGCCAAATGATGATAAAACCACATCTCTCAAATTGTTAAGTAACTCAGAGAAAAAGTAATTCAATTAACACATGTTTCCGCATGGCACCAGCTCTGTCAGTACCTGGGAGATCTGAGACCTGGGGTTAGGAAAGTCACCTCATCTCTATGGGCCTCAGTTTCCTCATCTGTAAACTCAGGAGATTGGACCAGGCCGTCTTTAAGGCTCTTTGGAGCCTGAATAATTCATTGGTTCTGTTTCCTGAAGTACATGTGCTTATTTTGGGCGGATTTGGAAACTGAATGCAGGAAAGGCTTCTGGGTAAATCTGGACCTTCATGCTTTGTTCAGACCAGTATGCATGCCTCCTACGTGGCACCTGCTGTGTTGGTGCTGGGAATAGGGTGAGGTACAATTGCTGCTCCTCCCTTCATGTTTCCTATAGTCTGGGTTTAGGATGGTAATGGGGATGGGGTGGGGGGTGGAGTGGACAGACTGAAAACAAGTTCTGTTGAACTGAATTTGCCCCTGGAGCTGTGTTCTTCCCTGTTGACCACAGAGTTCAGACTCTTGGAGGAAAGTGTCAGCAAAACTGCTCCCCCCGGCAGTGAGTGGGCAATGAGGCAGAAACTGTATTGGTATTTCCCCCGAGGATGCTAAGGAGCAGACCTCTGCTTTCTACTTGGAGAGGATATGCATGGCCTTTGGTCATTGCCTGATGAGAGCCATGTCTCATTCTATTATAGTCATAGTGGACCTAAAAATACCTCCCTGTCCCGGAGCATTCTCAGATGGTGAAATAGGAGTCTGTTGAGGCATAGGAAGTATCACTAAGGCCTCTTCCGGTTTACACCCCTGATCCATAAGGAGGGCTCTCTTGCTCCCATGGTTCACTGTGTGCTCCACAGAGAGGCACCTCCGGTAGTGTTGGTCCCGTTTGAACCTACCCCATCCACGCTGCTGCTTCGCACGCTAAGCTCCCGAGACATTTCCTAAGGACAGACAGCAGAGGGATTGCATGTGAAATTAACTCCCCGTTATAAAAAGGCATCCCGCATTTCTGCTTTTCATTTTTACTGTCTATTCTGCTTCTGAAATCCATGTATGAAGCTGTACCCTTTCTACCTGCCTACTCAGTGTTTCCTGGCTATTAAAGCAGATGAGAATAGCAAGCTGGAACCAGGCAGTGCACGTCTGGAATTGTGCTTTATGAGGGTTTCCTGAAGGGCAGCATTTGGCGGAAAAATAGGGGGAGAGAGCCTTGTTCCGTGTGGAGAGAGCCCGAACACTGGCCTCTGCTACCAGGAAGATGAGGTTTGCTGGGCTCATCTATAGAAAGGGTATAATAGCATGTGCCCTGTCGACCTAGGATGTGAAGGTGTTTTATACAGTTGTTCCCCTCTCATCCGTGGTTTTACTTTCCAAGGTTTTAGTTACCCACAGTTTACCTCAGTTCAAAAATATTAAATGGAAAATTCCAGAAACAAACAATGTATAAGTTTTAAACAGGGTACTATTCTGAGTATAGTGATGAAACCTCATGCCATTCTTTCCTACATGTAAATTGTCTCTTTGTCCAGCGTGTCTAAACCCTTTACGCTCAGGAATGGTGGCGACATAGTAGTCACCATCATGATAAACTAAGCCACTGCCATGGTATCTCAGTGTTCAGGTAACCCTTATTTTATTTGAGAACTAGAGGCCCAGTGCATGGATTCATGCACTGGTGGGGTCTCTCAGCCTGGACCCCTTGCAGGATGTTAGACTGCCACTTTTGGCCTGGTCCCTGGAAGCCAGGCTGAAGGACTCCTACCAAAGCATGTCTTCACTAGGCCTCTAGTATGCATATAAGATTCCTTTACTCCTTCCCTCTGAGATTCATCTGTCTGTTTCATGTTTCCATGCCTGTGCACTGAGTATCTACCCCCTGGTGGTCAGTGTGCATCATAGCTACAGGTCAAACGGTCGCTTAGGCTTCTCTATATATGTATAGATGGCTCCAAAGTGTTAGAGTAGTGATCCTAGCAATTTGGATATGCCAAAGACAAGCCATAAAGTACTTTCTATAACTGAAAAATTATGTATATATAGGAAAAACATTGTATAAATATATATAGGGTTCGGTACTATTTGTGGTTTTAGGCATTCCCCTGGAAGTCTTGGAAAGTATCCCCCTTGGCAAGGGGAGACTACTACAAACTACAAAATGACTTATAATATTTTTAGGTGTTAAAATTCTGTAGGAAAATTTTCAGCTTACAGCCAGTAATTGGAACTAGTTTAAAACCAGAAAGGAGATAACCAAATAGAGAAGGTGGGTGGGTTTTACGCTTTCCCATCAATGATACATGTTTCCTAGATTAATGGAATTAAATTATGATATAAATGCTTTGGGGGGGGGGCTTTAATTATTTCATTCTCCTTGCAAATAATTTAGAGAGGAAGATGGTGTGATGGGGAAAAGCATGGCTTTTGCAATAAGAAAGACCAGGGTTTGAGATTCAGCTTTATGATTTACCAGGGGAAGACGGAGGCCTCTGATGTTTGGGATAGTAATCCAGCCAAATAGTTTAACTTCTCTTTCCGTTTTCTAACATAGTTTGGTAATAGCTTAGGGTTGTTATAAGGATTAATGTAACAAAGTGGAAAAATGCCTGACACAATGCCCCACTCACAATGTGCAAAACCTTTAGTTCCCCATGTCTGATTTTCCCCACATTCCCCATTGAGAAGAAAGGCCATGTGAGTTCCTGCAGTGTTTGCCCTAGTGGAGGGACCATAAACTGGGGGATTCTAAAGATCTAAGCCATGAGAGCGTAAATAGAATTAGCTGTTTCTTGTTAAATAGCCCCTTCCTCCCCACCTTCTGTTTTAAATGTTTGACAGATTAAAAAAAAAAAAAATAGAACAATATTTTTATCTTTTAATCTGCATATTCATAGAACTGTAGTGACTATGGCAATTGAATAGACTGATAAAATAATTGGATATCATTCTTTAAATTACTCTTAAGAAAATAAATTTCCTACAATCCTTTAGTTTTTTGCATTTTTGTCCCCCCCCCCAAAAAAAAAAAAAATCTTACTGTTCTTATTCTGAGTAGCACAGTCCACTCACGGATATCACTTAGGTGGTACAGCTTCTTGGGGGTGGTTCTGTCTGCTTTTTATGAGATGTTTTGTTCATTCTCATTGTGGTGGATTATGCATAAATCTCGATCAATTTAAAAGTCAGCACAACAAACGATGATAATATCTTGGATGCATTTCTTTAAAAGATAATAGTTATGAAGTGATTATGTAACCATTAATGAGTAACATCAATTGAAGAAATGTTAAAAATGAATGTAAATCACACTAAACAGATAATCCTTTCTAAATATAAAAATATAGCTGTACATTAGATGTTTAAATAATAATAGAATTATACCTCACAAACTGTTCTATGATCTTGTTATTTTTTCTTAGCATTATATCTTATTACATCTGAAAACACATGTCTTTTTAATTAAAAATTATTTTTCCTGGCTGCATAATATTTCACTTTATGAATATGCCAAAAATTATTTGATTATCTGTTGATAAGCAATTAGTATCTTTTCAATTTTTTTTTGTATTTTAAACTGAGCTATAAATAAATGAATAATTGTATAATTAATTTCATAGGATAAAATGAAAGGTAAATTATTTGCCATATTCAAAGGTAAATGCAATTTTTAATTCTTCCAGTATATATGTTTCTAAATTGACCTTCAGAATGCAAGAAATCTTTCACAAAGGAATTATTCCATCAGTAGTGTATAAGTGGTATTTTTTAAAAAAATGAAAAAGTTGATATAAATCCTAGTGATTTTGAATTCCTTGTCATTGTGTAGAAGGGTTTCTACTTTTTAAATTGTATTTATGTTTTAGTAAAAAGAGTTTTTAAATGAAATGTATTGGGGTGCCATTGGTTAATAGGATGCTATCAGTTTCAAGTGTACATTTCTATGATATGTTCATTGCATATGGTAAAAAAGGTTTTATAATGAAAGTATTAATAGCACTGTTTCATAACCATTATTTCCTAGGTCTTCTCCCACTTTCCTCTAAGTTAACGTATTTTGTTTTTCTCTCTCTTTGACTCCCTCCAGGATGGAAGTATGATGTGATGGATAGAACTATGGGATACTGTGTGGGTACACGGCCTCCTCCTTCTTGCCTCATCCTCCTGCTTCTCAAGCTCTTGGCCACTGCCTGCCAGGGGCTGCCGGGGACCGGGCCCCTGGGCTTCCACTTCACACATTCCGTTTACAATGCTACGGTGCATGAGAACTCGGCAGCCAGGACCTACATCAACAGTCAGAGTAGGATGGGCATCACCTTAATTGACCTGTCCTGGGATATCAAATACAGAATCGTCTCTGGAGACGAGGAAGGCTTTTTCAAAGCCGAGGAGGTCATCATTGCCGATTTCTGTTTTCTCAGAATAAGAACTAAAGGTGGGAATTCTGCCATACTGAACAGGGAGATTCAGGACAATTATTTATTGATCATCAAAGGCTCTGTCCGAGGGGAGGATTTGGAAGCATGGACCAAAGTGAATATCCAGGTTTTAGATATGAACGATCTCAGGCCTCTGTTTTCACCCACCACCTACTCTGTTACAATAGCGGAAAGCACACCTCTGAGGACTAGTGTGGCCCAGGTGACGGCCACAGACGCGGATATCGGTTCCAACGGGGAATTCTACTACTACTTCAAAAGCAAAGTTGACCTCTTTTCAGTTCACCCCACGAGTGGTGTCATCTCTTTGAGCGGACGGTTAAATTACGATGAAAAGAACAGGTACGATCTGGAAATCTTGGCTGTGGACCGGGGGATGAAACTCTACGGAAACAACGGAGTGAGCAGCACTGCCAAGCTCTATGTTCACATTGAACGGATCAACGAGCACGCCCCAACGCTCCACGTCGTCACCCATGTTCCTTTCTCGCTGGACAGAGAGCCAACCTACGCGGTGGTGACAGTCGATGACCCGGATGAGGGGGCCAATGGAGAGATCGAGTCTGTTTCCATTGTGGCCGGGGACCCTTTAGATCAGTTCTTCCTGGCCAAGGAAGGAAAGTGGATCCACGAGTATAAGATCAAGGAGAGAAAACCGGTCGACTGGGAGAGCCTTCCCTACGGCTGCAACCTCACGCTTCAAGCAAAAGACAAGGGTTCGCCTCAGAAATCCTCTGCCGTAAAGACAGTCCACATTGCCAACCCCAGGAGGGAAACGGTCCCCATTAGGTTTGAAAAAGAAATGTACGATGTGAGCATCAGTGAGTTTTCCCCTCCCGGTGTTGTGGTTGCTATAGTAAAGCTAAGTCCCGAACCGCTGGATGTGGAATACAAATTGTCTCCCGGGGAGGATGCACAGTACTTCAAAATTAATCCTCGGTCAGGTCTGATTGTCACAGCGCAGCCGCTGAACACCGTTAGGAAGGAGGTGTATAAACTGGTGGTGACCAACAGGGAGGGGGATTTAAAAGCACAGGTCACCATCGGCATAGAAGACGCCAACGACCACACCCCGGAGTTCCAGCAGCCGCTGTACGATGCTTTTGTGAACGAAAGTGTTCCCGTGGGAACGACCGTTCTGATGGTTTCCGCTTCCGACAAGGATAAAGGAGAAAATGGGTACATCACCTACAGCATTGCCAGCCTGAATATGTTGCCCTTTGCCATTAACCAGTTTACCGGGGTGATCAGCACCACGGAAGAGCTGGATTTTGAGTCCTCTCCAGAAACGTACAGGTTCATCGTCAGAGCCTCTGACTGGGGTTCCCCCTATCGCCATGAGAGTGAGGTGAACGTGACCATTCAGATAGGAAACGTCAATGACAACACCCCTCTCTTTGAGAAGGTGGCCTGCCAGGGAGTTCTTTCCTATGATTTCCCAGTGGGGGGTCACATCACGGCCGTCTCGGCCATCGATATTGATGAACTTGAACTGGTGAAGTACAAGATCATCTCTGGGAATGAACTTGGTTTCTTTTATTTAAACCCCGACTCTGGCGTTTTACAGCTGAAAAAGTCACTGATGAATTCCGGCCTGAAAAACGGTCAGTTTGCCCTCAGGATTACAGCAACCGATGGGGAGCACTTTGCGGACCCCATGTCCGTGAACATCTCAGTCCTGCACGGGAAGGTGTCTTCAAAGAGCTTCAGCTGCCGAGAAACGCGTGTGGCTCAAAAGCTGGCAGAGAAACTGCTCCTTAAGGCAAAAGCAAACGGGAAACTGAATCTGGAGGATGGATTTTTTGATTTTTATTCCATTAATAGGCAAGGGCCACATTTTGACAAGTCCTTTCCCTCCGACGTGGCTGTGAAGGAGAATCTTCCCGTTGGTGCTAACATCTTGAAGATTAAAGCCTACGATGCCGACTCTGGCTTCAATGGGAAGGTGCTATTTACAATCTCGGATGGCAATATAGATAGTTGCTTTAATATTGACATGGAGACCGGGCAACTAAAAGTCCTTATGCCCATGGATCGAGAGCACACAGACCTCTATCTCCTCAACATCACCATCTATGACTTAGGAAACCCACAGAAATCTTCGTGGAGGTTGCTGACCATCAATGTGGAGGATGCTAATGACAACAGCCCCATTTTCCTTCAAGACAGTTACATGGTTAACATCCTGGAAAGTTCCAGTATCGGCACTGAGATTATACAAGTGGAAGCCAGGGACAAAGACCTGGGCTCTAACGGTGAAGTGACTTACTCAGTCTTGACAGACACACAGCAGTTTGCCATCAACAGCTCCACTGGCATCGTTTATGTAGCCGATCAGTTAGACCGGGAATCCAAAGCAAACTACTCATTAAAAATAGAGGCCAGAGACAAGGCGGAGAGTGGCCAGCAGCTCTTTTCCGTTGTCACACTGAAGGTGTTTTTGGATGATGTCAACGACTGCTCCCCAGCCTTCATCCCCAGCAGCTACAGCGTGAAGGTTCTGGAAGATCTTCCCGTGGGCACTGTCATCGCTTGGCTGGAGACCCACGATCCAGATCTTGGACTGGGGGGTCAAGTGCGCTATTCTTTGGTCAATGACTACAATGGGAGGTTTGAGATCGATAAAGCAAGTGGCGCCATCCGTTTGAGCAAAGAGCTGGATTACGAAAAGCAGCAGTTCTACAATCTCACGGTCCGGGCAAAGGACAAAGGGCGGCCTGTGTCTCTGTCGTCGGTTTCCTTTGTGGAGGTGGAGGTGGTGGATGTCAATGAAAACCTCCACACCCCCTATTTCCCAGACTTCGCCGTGGTTGGATCTGTAAAAGAAAACTCACGCGTTGGAACGAGTGTGCTGCAGGTGGCTGCCCGAGACGAGGACTCTGGGAGGGACGGGGAGATCCAGTACTCCATCCGGGATGGCAGTGGTCTGGGAAGGTTCAGCATAGACGATGAAAGCGGTAAGTTTAATGTTTTTGTGTCAGAAGTGAAGTTTTGCCTCTCACAAATGGTCAGCAACGGAAAAGCAAATGGACATTCTCGCATGCTAAAAGAGAATGACAACTGAGATTGTATTTGGTGTGGAGGTGACCCAGGAAAAGCTTTTTCTTAGGATGTGTTGGTTTATAAGACCTGCTTATGCAGTAACGGTCATTACTTTCAGTAGAGATGTCCTTGTTTTTTTGTTCTTAGGTAGCACTGTTTCTAGATTATCTTTTGATAAGCGTAATTAATTTTCACCCTTGTTGATTGCACTTTTGACTTTCACTAAATTAAGGGCCTTGACAAAGTAAATTACATTTGAAGTGGCTTTACATTAGAAGCCTGAAGTAGATTTTCAAATGGATCTTGTGTACTGATCTTTCCCTTTACCATAGTGCTTTGCTGAAGTGATATCATTAGTTTGGTCTTCGTGTTTCACGGGCACATCTGGCCCCTTGAGCAACAGCATTTGCACCTTGTATGCTCCATTTACATATGGAGACATGCTTTTACAGATGTTTTCATGGTAGACTAGAGCTGGCATGTTGTGGATTTTATTTAATAAACAAATTTATTTTAAGATTTTATTTTTAAGAATTAACTTATATTTTAAAATATGGGGCAAATTTTACCCAATATTATTATTGTCCCCTACCTACCTCCGTCATACATACAGATATGTATATATTTTTCTATTTTTTGTTATTCTTATTATGTGTCCTTTAAATGTACATGTGCCTGGGCAGGTACATATATGTATATGTTCCTTGATTAGCACTGTACATTTTTCTAGTCTACTTTGGATTGCAGACATTGCAAGAAAGGAGCTGTGTCTTCTTTACTCTTGTGTAAGTGGTAATATTAGCACATTACAGTCTTCAGGACACATGTTTCTGTATTAAATAATTTCAACAACACTCACAGGGCGCTTTGTTCCCAGTAATGATGATGATAATTAAAACAGGAAGTGGAAGACCCATATAGGGATGCTAACTGTACATCAATCACACCAGAAAAAGGATTTGATGCATTCTATGAAATATTGGATAGGAGTTACAACATGTGTACCCTCACAAATTTAAACTGTAATTTTTGTATATACATGGGCTCTGATTATGGGCATGTTAAATGATAAAATTTGTCCTCACAGCCATAATAAAGGAAAAGGTAAATGTCAAGAAAATTGGGTTCTGATTCAGCCACCTACTCTTATTTTATTGTCTATAACTTGCTTTATGATTTGGAATATATTTTCACTTTTGACATTCAAAATGAGCCAGGCTGGGAAGTAATCTTTACTGAGTGTCTACTCTGTGCTAATACTTTATTACTACTAATAATAATGATTTCTTTGAGTACTTACAGTGGGCAGTAAAAGGTTTGAAGGGCTTTAGAATCGTGTCTTATTTATTTCTCCCAATAGCCCCATGAGTAGAACTAATAACGAATTCCTGAACTGACATTCAGAGAAGGTGGGTAACTGGAGACAAGTTTCAAACTTAGTCTGCGTGCTGCGGTATAGTATGCTGTCTACTCTCTAAAGCCAATATGGACTTCCTTGCATGTTCCCACATATGTTTGAATTTGGTATTGATCTAAAATCTGTAAGACAATAAAGTGTTAAACAGATTTTAAAGTCCTTAAACCCTGGGCTCATTGGCTGCTGACACGGGTCATTACTTACCTTTCTGTCTTCCTTAGAGTCCCATGGTTTGGGTGGCTTTCCTGTTAGAGAAGCTTAGCATTGGGATTCAGGTGGATGTGAGCAGGTAGGTCAGCACGAAGGCATTGGACTGAATCATTAACTACTGCTAGCTAGATGATGACATGAAGCCGCATTGAGCTGTTTTATTAGGACATTTCATCTTGATGGAGCCCGATACGGGGAAGAGCAGGAACCATTTGGTGAAAGTGGCGTGGATGTTCTCCACTTGTACCATGTTATTTTGTTTTCATCTTGGGTGTTATTTCAGAAAAACGTGTGTATCCTTTCCTCTGATGATATAGCTTCCCTCATAATTCTTGGCTTCAGGAGTTTGATGTCCTTTGCCGCTGTTGAGAAAAAAACTCACTGCTCTGCGTTTGTTCTGTAAGATTCTAAAGTACAATAAAACACACTTTTCCACAGATGATAGCAATGCCCTGTACATTTTGACATTGCTGCATGACTTAAAAGCTCATTCTTGGAAACATTCACTCCTTTGGGCTAAAGAGAAGCTACGGAAGTCATGTCCGGTCACATGCCCACAGGAGGACACAGATGGATCTGTCCTAATCCATTGCTCTTTTGGGGGGCATTCATTAAAAATGTTTCTGATTTATAGTTCTAGAGGATTTTTAATATTTAAAACTATAGTGGCATTGTCCTTCTCCACTTTTCATTTTGATTCATTCCCTTAGTAAAACTATGTGTTGCTCTATATGATAGGGGGAAAAAATGTTTGGGCTTGATGTTAAAGGTTTTAATGAAGGTTAGAATTTCCTTATAAAAATACTCTTAATCATCTTACTTTTTCCCCTCTCACCTCTTATAGATTTTAATAGCTGAGCCTCTAAGATAGGGGTGTCGAACTCAATCAGAGAAGGGGCCAAAATCTAAAATCCAGCCTAAATCGCGGGCCGAATGGTTTACTGAACAGTCATAAACTGTCATTGTGATGGAAACGCAGCGGAGTGCAGTGATGACAGCGAGGTGCGGGCCACATTGCAAGGCCTGGCGGGACGGATTTGGCCCGCGGGCCTTGTGTTTGACACATGTGCTCTAAGATGTTGATGAGGAATGATTGCCTGGACTTGTGTTAGGGAGATGCTAGGGCTAAGAAGCTTGGCAAATGTACGCCCAGCAAGAGAAGTCATCACCATGGTGCTGGTGGGTTTGCACGACTGTTGAAGGATCCATCAGCTCTTGGTTCCCCAGTGTTAAAAGTCATGGCTTGTGCTGCTGGCAGAGGGAACAGCTATTTAGCCCTGCAGCTGTTACTGAGACAGAAGTTCAGACTCTGTTGTCTCCATTTGACCCTTGGGCATAGAATGGCCTAAACTTGTTTGGATTTTTGTCTTTCAAGAACCTTTCAGTCGGCTGCCAAAGTTTACTTAATAGCTCACATTGTCTGGCGGTTCTCAAATTTAGGAGTGTGCATGAATCAGCTACAGAGTTTGTTAACAATGCAGATTCCCAGGGCCAAGTCCCAAAGATTCCGATTCAGTAGGTCTGGGCTAGGCGCCCAGGATTCTTCATTCAAGCACTCCAAGCATTCCCTCTGCATGTGGTTCGGAAACACTACCCTAAATTTACTTGGCCTCTTCGGAAAGTGTCTACCAGATTACATCTTTTCCATAGAGTCCTTTTCCTTATTCTCTTGAAAGGCAGGGAATTGCATTCATATTTTAGGTAAATTTCTTTGTTAGTCGAGTGTTACAATCCAGATACATTTTTTGTTATTTATTAGCAATGATAGTTTTCTGAATGCCTTCCCAATGGATCAGAAATCTATTTCTGTGCCTCAGTAATTGCATGCTCCTGTTTTGTGAAACTGCATGTGCTGGGATTAGTTGATTCATTTAGTAATTTCTGGAATTCAGTGAACAAAACCATACCTTTGCAATTCTTTCCCACTCACAGGCATTTAATAAATGTGTAATAATATTCACAATAAATGGATTAACTGTGGGGCCCAACCAGGATGGATTTGATCACAATTTAAATTACTAGTCTGGAAGTCTCAATGTAATCATTGTTTCCTTCACTAAGAATGCATTCTTATTCTTTGACACAACAGGAATCCATATTGTGTAATGTTTAGGTTTTAGATGGCTAAGAAAGCACACATTGTCTATTTTAAACTGTTACTTTCTATTAGGTCCTTTTGCAAGCTGTAAACTTAAGCAATGATTTCACCATTTTATTTACTTGAGATTAAAAAAATCCTTAATTGAGATAAATAATTTCTAGTTTAGGACATTAATCATTTATAATTGGGAAGATATCTATGCCATCCATTATTGCTAATTATATATATATATATTTTCATTTATCAAGTATTTATTGTATTTCATGCACTGTGCTAGGTGGTTTATGGACACTGTGCATAATTGTCATAGTAGTTCAGCATGGTCAGGTTTAATGATACTTGTCCACCTGGAAGTTATAGGAGCTGGGATTGGAACTCCAGAGAAATGGGCGCCAAATGTCATTTTAGTCACTCTCTGTCCACTCCAGCATGCCGTAATAACCTTTATGAACATGTATTGGTCACATTTTTCTATATCATGATGGCTGCATAATAGACAGTCACAAAATTTCAGTGGCTTATCAAAACAGACTTTTTCCTTGATCCTGAGACTGGGGAACAGTCAAAGCAGCACTGTTGCAGCCTGTGAATTGAGTGTGTGTTCCGCATGTCTTCCCATTGCAAGGATGCAGGCCGAAGACGTGCCCAGCTATCTGGGGTGTGATGTTCTCACAGGGGCAGTCAGACTTGCGATAGGGCTTCTGAAACCTGCAGTGCCTCTTAAAGCCTCTGCTCGGAACAGGCTCACATCCTGTTAGCCAGAGCCGGTCCTGGGGGTAAGCTCAGTGTTGAGGTGGGACAGGGAAGAATATTTCTACAGAGAGAGGGAGGAAGAGGGATGCATACTCATTAAATAATAATATAGCCTGACAGACCCTATGACAACTCTCATTGTGGTCTTTATGACCTAAAATTAATTGGGTGCTGCCTGTGTGTGAGGCCCTGGGCCAAGCACTAGAGACACATGCAGGTGTAATGCCTGGGCCTTGCAGAGCAGGAAGTTTCCCAGTCTGTCTGAGAGGTCAGAGTGCAGCTGCAGGTGATGATGCTGGTGGCCATGGCAGCAGCAGTTCACAGTGACAAGTTCTGTGCAAATGCTTCCTACAGATGGTCTCATTCCATTGTCCCATAAGATAGGGACGGTTGTGTTCTTGTTTTTACACATCTGGTACTTTAAAAGGAAAAAC